CCGTACTCACGTTCGTGCTAACGAAGACCATAAATACTCTTTTTTTTTAAACCAAAAAGAGTCGACATTCAAGGCCATTTTAAACATGTGTATTCAAATATGGAATTTGAAAAATTATTCAAATCGCTTTGACCTTATTTTTATTTGCAAACATTAACAACATGTGTTTAAGCGTTAAATTCTGTGAACAATTACATAAATCTGTGTGCATTGTGTGTTTGTTATGATTGAGATACTATCATTGAATTATTAACTCACCCAGCTTGAATGCTGTCTATTTGCTTTTCACATAATCACGTCACTTCGTTCATCACTATGTGGAATAACATTAATTATGCGAGTTGGAGCGATGGCCTGTTCTTTTAATTTCCGAATTCTCCAGTTCAAAGTTCGAACTTCAAACGCAGTGTGGAGTGAAAAATTAGCTTAATAATGCTCTGAATTACTGAAATGCCAAAAAAATCGAAGCAAACCGGCCACAAATTGCCAGACCGTAACAATCGATCCAATAAGCGAGAGGCATTTCCGATGGCACAAACACCACGATAACATTTGTAAAATTGAATCTAAAATCGTATTGTATTTTGAGGCGATGTCAGAAACTTTTTCTGAGAGCCATAAATGTAAGGAGAGAGGGGAGCTCCACTTCAGTGAGAAGCAAAATATTAAAAGTTAAAAAAATAATTCAAATTGATTTGAAATCGAGTTGCTTGGTATAAATTTTCATATTAAACTAATTGAATCAAGTGGATATATGCCATATATGTGTGGCGTATAAATGATCGAGTCGATATTTGTTCTGGACTTTGATTAAATTGAATCTGGTTGATATTTATGACTACAAAATAATTGCATTTTTAAAAACACAAAACAACTATTTTAATTGAATTTGAAATGTTCGCTCAATATTTTCATAATTTGGCGCTTTGTCATGACCACTGGTAGTATTCTTTTATCGTAAGCGCCCCCAACGCTTTGCAAACGTAACTAAAACTGACAAGTTACATCATTCAATCTGTGCGAGGGACCAGAAAGAAGGCAGATAGCAACACAACATTCTTACACACAATTTAAGATAGAAAATCGAAAAATCTACAAAAACTAAGAACCATCCCGATTGTTTTGGTGTTGAACACCTTTTGGTAGCTCGTAATAAAGAAAATTAAACAAAAATCAAATTGGATTTGTCTTGTTTTTGGAGCAATTTTCTTACTACAAAAAACAAATCGTACGGATTACATAACCTCAAAAGCAAATATTGTTGCGTGAAGAGACATTTACTCCGACTGCCACAAAGTAGGTAAGGAAATTTGATTTAATTTGGAAATGATGTGTCTGGATTTCAGTTGGGATCAATATCAAGATTAAATTCCAATTTTATTATCGTCAGATTTGGTAACCATGAATGGGTCCAGTGCAAATGAGTTGCATAGCGACAACAAGCCAAAGGATCGCGACAATTCAACAGAAGACAATGGGGTATTGTTGGAACCACATGAAATAAAGCAGGAAGTGACCGTCAAAGAAGAGCCAGAAGTGGAAGATGACATCGATTTGCTCACGGTACCGACAAGTTCTGCCAACGAATCGACCATCAATTCTAGAAACACCGAATGCACGAGTGGGGTAGGTGATTTTATGGAAGTGAAGTGTGAAGTTAAGGTGGAAAAGGAAGCAAACTCAAAAAAGCATAAAGATGGAGCAAAGGGACAAAATGATGCTGTAAATTCAACTTCAAATCGATCGAATGGAAATCCAAAGTTGACAGCAGCCAATGCAAAGAAAAATGCGATCGGAATGAAGAAATCGTTCAAAACTGGTGGAAGTTGTAGAAAGGGAAAAGCAAATGCATCCAGTACGACACGTAAACAACACAAATGTCCATCATGCGATTACACTACACCATATACGACCAATTCGATTAAGCACATACGCAAGCATACAGGTGAAAAACCGTATCAATGCAATCGATGTTCGAAACGATTTATTACAAAGCGTAATCTTCAATTGCACATGAGAACACACGTGGCTGAATTCCCATTCAGTTGTGCAAATTGTTTGCAAGGATTTGATCAAAAGATTGACAAGTTGATACACGAGTTTAGTTGCAACATTCGCCGCTACAAATGTCACCATTGCAAAAAATACTCCACTTTGAAGAAGACACATTTGAAGAGGCACATTCGTATTCACACTGGCGAAAGACCATTCCAGTGCAACCAATGTTCAAAGAAATTCACGCAAAAAAGTCACTTAATTTGCCACAAAAAAACTCACACCAATCCACGTCCATTGAAGATCAAGTGTTCGGCTTGTTATCAAAGCTTTTTAACACAGACTGAAAAAGAAATGCATGAACAAAAGTGCCAGTGCAGAGGCTACGAATGTTATATCTGCAAAGTATTTACCAGCAACCGCAGACAGAATTTGAAGTATCACATGCGAGCAAATCATACTGGCGAAAAGACATTACCATGTCAATTGTGCCAAAAATACTTTTCTCAAAAAGTAAACCTCAATCGCCACCTGAAAAACGTTCACAAATGATCATCAATCAATTCGAAGAAAACATTTAGTTCAATAACAAACGAAATCATCGGTAATTATTGGATTGCCACCAAAACAAACGAATTTAAATTCCAGCAATTAAATAAGATTGTCAATTTACTCTTTTTCTTTTACAAATCCTTCACATGATTAAAACCACATATTTTTTCATTCAATTCCAATTAATAAATACTTTTTTCGCTTCCAAACAAAACAATCCTAGGTGTCTTTGTAATATTATTTCATCTCTTTATTTTTTTTAACCAAACACGGAATTAAAACTTCAACATTGTTGACATAAAAATGCCCATTGCGAAAGCAAAATCCGGTAGAAAATTCTCATCATTTTTCATAAAATTAGTTTAAATAGCAATTCTCTGATCTCTTATGACTTAACTAATTACGAAAATAATTTCATTACAAACAAATTGTACTTCAGAAAAGATAGGTAAATACTAAAGAGAGCCAAATACTAAACCATCATTTGGATTTTGGAGTTCGGAAAAAATGTTTTATTGAAACATTTTGTTACTTCTTTATCTTTTCAAGTAAGAATCAATTCAATTTATTCTCATTTTTGTTGTAGAATGCGTTCGACGAATGCTGCGAACCGGTCATGAATTTGTATGTATTGTTCAGTAGTTTGTCATAGTCATTTGTCTTCACTCACATACTCAAAAACACAAATATCAACCGCTCAGAAGTTTTCTGCTTACAATAACAAAATAAACTCAATTCATTTGCGATGCTCGTTGC